TTAATGCAGTGTCACACACTTTAAATTGCTAGCCAGACAGGGATGGCTCTTTTTTTTATTTCCATTGTCATTTTATCACACCTTTACTTGACAGTTATAAAAAAATGAATTGCATCTTTATGAGGCATTGAGGGTATGTCCCAGGGTAGAGAAGAATGCATCATCATCATCATCGTCGTCCAGACTTTGCTGCAAAAATCCTTGCAATTTCAGCCACTATTACTCATAATGATACTATTACTGAACAAAATGATCACAAATGAGTACTGATTGTTCCATAGAACAGAGGAAAAAAAGAATTTATATTTCAGTTTATTTGTCAGTATCTGTGCAAATTAAATCATCAAAAAAGTTCATGAAAGGAAAAGCATTCTGAAAATATAAATTAATCTAATAGCAATTAGAATCAGGGTGCTTGATTAAACCCTGCATTTTCTAATGTGCCTTTTTGGAAGTGAAGCTCAGGTACGTACATTTTATAAAAATACAAAGTTGCACATGATATCTTTGTATATATTCACTTTTTCATAGTTATTGTTCTTCAAAACTGTAGAAGCTATTGCCATTTTTACATACTGTGTGTAAATGAAAATAATCTGTCCACCTTTTCCTTGTCTTCCCTATCCTCTGGGATTTCCTACAATATGTCTGAGTGGCATAATGATTTCTCTTTGCTACTAAATTAATTCATTTTCCATTTCACAGTATAGACTGAATAGGGAAAAAACTTTGCTACAGACTATCTTCCCCCACCAACAAACCAAATCCAGTTTAGAATTAATCAAGCCTACTATGTTGTACTAAAAGCAGCTTCTAGACTTCTGACTAACTTGTTTTGTGTGAATTCAGACAGAGATAATGCTTTGGTATCGCCTCCGCCCATAATATTATGAATGATCTCACCAGGAAGATTCTGAGTTCAGACACTAAACTAAACCATGAAGGTCTATGTTCTTTGTTTCAAATAACTTTCTTAAGGCCTTGAGAATAATCCTTCAAAAGGTACTTTTCATGCTTATTGAATACAGAGAGTCCTGGAGTCGAAGCCTTCCCATTACAGTGATACTGTATGTTGTGATGGTCGTAAAGCATCACTTGGAGTTCTGGCCATCCAAACACATCCAACTGTCACATGATTGCAAACTGGATGCTTGGCAACCAATCAACCAATTGCAGTGCTTCAAATCACCATTTGCAATGTTCTCTGCTAGCTTCTCCAGAAAATCAAATGGGGAAGCTGGCAGGGAAGGTCACACAACTCTCACATCTGTGCACCCCAGCTGGCTCAGACCTATGTGCTGATACTGCCTACCGGAGGCTTAAAACTTCCCGTTGGCTTCCCAACTGAATTTGCTTGAGGGGAGTTTGTAGGAAATTGCCTAACATAATTATCATGGGTTTGGTTAATAGCAGCAACCGGGACTCTAGGAACTGCTGTCATGAAACAGTTGTACTTTATGACCTCATTGCTTAGCACTGAAATCCTAGTCAAAATCCAAATCAATTGCCCTTGTAACTCAAGTATTTATCTGTTTTCTGTTATCCGATAGGAAAAAGACAGAGAAAAACTAAATCCACAAAAGTTGTACTTTATACTCCCAAAAATACAGGAGCCAAAAAACCCCCCTCCAAATATGTTTTATACAATTCTGTAAACATCTGTCTGGATCAGGAGCCTACCGTTTTGGTGGATCTAACAATTTCTAATATTGTTTTCAATTATAATGGGACAGATAAATCAGCATTCTAATCTTGTGGGGGATGGGGGAAACATTTAATCCATTCACAAGGTTCCAATGCAGGATCCAATTTTAAGTTGAGTACAAAAACTTTAATTTATTGAATTACAATAACTAAATACATCAACCTGAGACGTAAATGGTAGAAACATTATCAGATTTTTATTCTTGTTTCACTCTAGAAGCCAATAATTTGCCGGGTTTCGCCTGTTCCCAGTAGTTCTATTTTATATAATTTAATGAATATTCAATATCTAGATGAACAAGTTACAATTTAGCAGATCTAAAGATATTGTATCTTCCCAAAGAAGGATTTTTTTGACTAAATATTCAAAGCTCCTTAACTTTCTTTTCCAAATTATTGGACTGAAATATTTTATCTTATCTCCTATGAAGCATTCCAGATAGTTGTAAAAATAACTCAGATTATGTATTTTATTAACACTTGTGTTAAGTGTGTGTGTGTACGTGTAGTTTTCATACACCAAAATACAAATAAAACTCTGATAGAAATGAAAAATATGATCTGTTAGTAACAAAAGTGGGTTAGTTGTAAACTGTAATATAATAGGCTAGTATACTAATTATAAAAAATACTGCCTATCACAGATTAATTAATTGGTCTTTTCTTGTTCTGATAGAACAAGAAAAGAAACATGCCTTTATTCATATGTGCTAACTGCACCACCTAGTGGCATTATCAAATTAATTAGCCTTGTGACACACCGATTTTACAACTTTGTTTGCATTTCAAAGTGTATTTGAATCTATGCTCTTCTCCAAAAGAATGTTAGATAGTGACAGGATTTACAACGTTTTTGGAAGATTACTTCAGAGTTCATGATTTGTGGATGGGTATCTTTGATGTTGAGTATTCTGGTAGTCCTCTAGTATTTCCTTCTCTACTGTAGCGCAAATGCTCTCTGCCAGTTAATATTTATTTGGGAATGATGATGATTAGTGTATGGCATTGTTGTATTAGCCAGGAGGTTATGATGCTGATACAGAGTAGTAGTTTGGCTACTAGCTCTGTTGTGGTACATACTCACATTCTTCCTAAGGTATGCCAAGGAGGGTGAGCTAACTGTGCACCAGAAAGATGCAACAGCTCTTCCTGCAGTGTCATCCAAGGCCACCCGTCCCTCCACCAAGAACTGCCTCGCAAATGGGCTTCACACTTCTATGGATCAAATTAGTTTGAACCCCACCACATAATTTAATAAATGAATCAATTTGGTGTAGTAGAAAAGATGATGGCCTAGAACAGGGCTGTCAAATTTGCGGGTGCGGGCCAGATGCATCACACGCTGGCTACGCCCACTCCTGGTTTAGCAAAGGGGGGAAAAAGTCCTGATACATCACATCTTACCACTGTGACACCCCTGGCCTAGAGAATAGGGGGTAGTGAGTTTTAGGTCTCCCCTTGGCATGAAAGCAAACTGGATGCCATACCAAAAAACCTTGGATGACACAATATATGCCTTGACAAAATTCCCAACTGTCAATTACAATATCCCTCACTACTGGAAGCCATACATATAGTATGTCAATACATTACAACAAGGGTCTTCAAACTTGACAGCTTTAAGATTTGTGGACTTCAACTCCCAGAACTCCTGAGCTAACATGACTGGAGGAGGAATTCTGGGAGTTGAGGTCCACAAGTCTTAAAGCTGAAGACCCCTGCATTACAACATCCTAGGGACTTGGGAAGAACTCAATGCATATGAAGGCCAACATTAGCTAAAGAGCGGGCAGCAGTGATTTCAGATTTTTGTGTACGTCATAAAAACAATAAATGACAACTGGTTGGGTTCCAGATTGTGCTAATAAAAGCATAGTTTACGAAGTACAATGGCTGGGTTCACTTGTTGGAAGAAATATCCAGTTCTTGTTCCAAGCCAGGAATAAAATGGAGGCCAACTGGAGAGAAAGGTTCTGTTTATTGGTGAACAGAACACACACATACAGCATGCAGTTCTGGGTAAGTAGAAGGGTTCTTATATGGTTAGGTAACTTTGAAGTTTGGGATTTGTGCAATACAGGCTTTGGGTTCTGAAAGGGCTTTTGGTAGTTCTTATTGTGGCTGATGGCGATTCCTGGTGTTAGATTTTTGGGTGAGGGGGTGCTTGCTCTTATCCTATCACTCTGCTTTTGTTAGCTGTCAAAATTGCTGTAAGGGGTTTAGAAATATCCTGTCTTGAATGGAGTTCTGTTGGCAGTATTTGCTTTGCTTATGAATGGAGCCATGAAGATTGTTGGCTTCCTCTTTAATTAAGCTCGTTATCTCCTTAAGTGCCAGTATCTGCAGTTAGCTTCTTGTTACAATGTTTTATTTAGGTATCTAGCTGGAATGTGGAATGGGCTTCAGGGAGTTTTTATTATTAGGCTTGGTCTTTTGGCTTTTCTGAGGCTTTTCTTTATAGTTAATATTTCATTTGGGATAATGGGGGGAGGAGGGGCTGATTCCTTCTTACACAACCAGCATGTAAAAAGAACACTCTCTCTCTCACTCTCTCTTTCACTCCCTCTCTTTGTATAGCTGTGGTGAAAAATCTTCCTTTCTCCATTGCAGCTTTATGAATCACAGCCTTCCAAAAGATCTGCAGCTTGCCTAATCCTTGTCCTGAAAAAATGCAGAGGACATCAAAACGTTACTTAGTCACGCTCAACTCCGATTTGCCAGAGTTTGGTTTTTGCAGTAAAACCGGATGTTTGGGGAATGACTTTTCCAAGAATTTTGCGCCTTTTTTTCCTTTCCAGTCAATTTTCTGGCGGTCTCACTCTGAAAAAAACTAGCTCCTTAACTTTATTATTTAGCTAATTTTATTATTTAATTTTCCGATGTCAACCCAGGCGCTGGGCTAGAAGAGTAAAGCAAGCCCGACTCCTGCTACCTAACGATTTCACACTGCCTCCTTCCGTCGTAAAAGATTTTCAGCTCTTCGCAATCTGTCCTAGAAAACCCTCGAATCGCCTAATGCAGTTGATCCAAGCAAAATCGGTTCGGATTCCCAATCTGGGTCGTGGACAATTACAATTCCCGTCTTCCAGTGGGGATCCAGAGTTTTGCAGCCCTCCCAAAGGGGACTCTTTCCCGGCCACGGCCTCTTCCAGCAGCCCCAACAGCCGGCCCAGGCGAGCGCGATGCAGCCCTGGGAGGCGCAACCTCCGCCCTCCCCCATCGACTGTTCGGCGCTCTTCTCCACCAGCCCTTTCTCCGCGTAAGGCCCAGCAGCTGCCCTTCTTCCCATCGGCTTTTCCGCGATCGGCACAGCGCTACCTGAAAAGGGGGCCCTGTCGCTTCCTGGGAAACCGGGGCGGGATTGGATCCCTCGGCCGTCGGGGCCGCCGCCTCGGTGAGGCTGAGGTGAGAGCGTTGCCTTCTCTCCCCTCCGTAGGGGCGCATGAGTCTGCTGCGTCGTCGGAGAGGGAGAGCCTTCTTCGCCGCCCTTCCTTGCGGTCTTTCTCGCCCTGCCCCTCGGGGCTTTGCTCCCCTTGGCCACATTGTTGGCGCTTCCCCCTCCCCCCCCCAAGTCTGGTGCCCGTGGGCGGCTTGCGGGTTCCGGGGTGATGGTGAAGGAGCAAAGGGCTGACAGCCGCCCCAGACTCCTGCTTTTCGGCATCTCTACGATGCTCGGGCTGCCTCTTCCCATCCCAGGAGCCATTTCTGCTCGCCCTGCCGTATCCGCCCTTTTTCATGTTAAAACCACAGAAGGAGTATCGGTTCTTCCTACCTCTTTGTCCCGACGGGTTGGGAGCTTGGTGGCGGAAAACAAGGATGAGGAACAAGCAGTCTTCGTCCTTGTGTTGGTGCGAAAATGGCTTCTGTCAAATAACTTATCTTGCAGTTGTTGATGGTAGATATATCCTGCTTTGGAGAAAAGGGAATCGGGCCGCTTTTGTCTCGGAATTGGGTGTCTCGACTCTCTTGGTTGATAGAATCAAATTATGGACTTGGGAGAAGCAAGATTTGGACAGTGAATTAGAAGAAAACCCATTCCGAGTTTGACTGTAAGATGCTAACATAGAAGACTGGAATAGCAGTAGCACTTAGACTTACATATCGCTTTACAGTGCTTTACAGCCCTCTCTAAGCTGTATACAGCAATATTGCCCCCAACAATTATCAAGGATTGAAGGCTAAGTCAACGTTGAGCTGGAATGAAGTTACTTTAACTGTATTTCTTTTGTGTTTTATTTTCTTGTGTTCTATTTTAGATTATTAGAAACCTTTTTAAAAAAATCTACTCTTAAGAATGCTAATTTTCTTTTAGTCTACATTTCCCTCCCTTATCCAGTGGTCTGCAATTCTAACAGGTGGAATTCAGAGCACATTTGGAGGGAAATCTGGATGCCTCACAAAAAGACATCTAAATCCAAAAGCTGCTCACACCTTATGTAATTTTAAAAAAAGGCATGTATGATAATAGGAGATGAGTGTAGTGGTATGCTTTGCATTAAATGTACATCAGTCCCTGTGGATGGGTATGTGTAATATTCAAAGTAAGTTGAGACAGCTAATGATGGAAAAATTACAGAATAACATGGCTCCTTTTTATTATACCTTGGGCACTTAAGTGTTTTGTCTTACAAGCCTTGCTTACCCATGTAATAATACAACTCTTTCCTGTGTTACCTTTATATGCCTTATTTAGCAACAAAGATGGTTAGGGGGCTAGAGGCTAAAACATGAAGAATGGTTGCAGGAGTTGTCTATGTCTAGTCTAGTGAACAGAAGGACTAGTGGTAATAGGATAGATATGTTCCAATATTTGAGGGGCTGCCACAGGGAAGGAAGAGTGTCAACCTATTCTCCAAAGTATCTGCAGGCAAACTATGAAGTAATGGATGAAAATAATCAAGGAGAGAACCAACCTAGAATTAAGGAGAAATTTTCTGATAGTGAGAATAATTAATCATAGAACAGCTAGCCTCCAAATTGTGGGTGCTAGAGAGTTTGAAGAAGAGTTTGGACAGCCATTTTGTCTTAAATGATATAGGGCCTCCTGCTTGAGCAAGGGCAACTACAGAGCAACTAGAAGACATTCAAAGTCCCTTCCAAGTCTGTTGTTCTGTTCTGTTATTTCTTGCTTGTGGCATATTATTCTAGTGACAAAGTTAACTGTTACTACTTTTGAATTATGAATTTATATGATTGGTGATTTGGCCTGGAAAATTTTCTGAATGTCACAGATATTTACTTCAGGCAAGTTGGACACCAATAGTCTTTGAGTTACAACTGCAGTTGAGAGTGGAATTTCCATCAAGAAGAAATGTGGTTATAAAGCACCATGCCACGTGACCATATCATTTTGCGATGGCATTCCACTTTGTGTTGTTAACCAATTATAAGCCAAGGACCCATCCCAACCCAAGCTCTTCCTGCTTGGGACCTTCTAGTCCTGAGCCTATTGTTCAAAGTAAGGGACTTCTGCCCCTTAAACTCCCTCCAACCTACTTTACTCCCATCTCTGCCCTTTTGGTTACATTGCACCTTGCCTAAGGGGCAGCAAGAAGCCAAGAACTGCTTGCTTTGCGGACTGCTTGCTGCACTATGGTTCAGGGGGTTCTTGGCTTGCCATGGCTCTAGAGCTGAAAGAAGTCCCTGACCTGCAAAGCAGCATGCAGCCACAGCTGCTCCAGCGCATCCCAGCCCAGGAGTATGGTGCGAATCTGCAGCTGCTCTAGCCCAGCCTAGCAGTTAATGAGAAGTTATAGCTTCCCTCACTGCCCTGCCCTGCCCTTCCAAGACCCTCCTGTCCTATGTTCCGCTGGCCCAGGTCAGCCTAGCAGATGGCAAGGAGCTGTAGCCACCCTAACCAACCTGTATTTTGAGGCCTCGGCTGTCTCGCTCTACCACATCAGCCGATCTTTGCTAGCTTCTTTTCCTGCTGCTGGCAAGACATGCCTAGTCTGGTCCTTCATTTTTTTTTTAGGTTTAACATTTTTATTGAGTTATAAAATATTGTAAAATACAAAATTCAAAAGTAAATAGAAAAGCAGTAGGGAAGAAAAGGGGGAAGAGAAGTGAGGAAAGATAAGAAAGAAAAAAGAAAGAAAAAGCAGACTTCCAACTCTCTCTGTTACAGTAAATAACTTTTTGCTTTTTCATAATAATATGAACAAGCCATTTCTGTAAAGATCTATCAGTCTACTTGGTAAAACCCAAAACCATTCTTTTCCACATAAAGCACAAAGTTCAGAAGTGGTCTCCATGTGGAAACAAAAGTACTTATGTTCTTTTCTTTAATCAAAGTAATCAGTTTTGCCATTTTGGCCAACTCCATCTGCAACCATTCATCCATAGTAGGAATCGAAGTGTCCTTCCATTTTTGTGCACACAATAGTCTTGCTGCTGTCAACATATATAATAACAAAGTTCCAAATGTTTTCTCCACTTCTTTTTCCATTAGGCCCAAAAGGGAAAAGTTCTGATTTCATTTTTATCTCACCTGGCATGGTCTTTCATGAGGCCTTCTTTCCAAGGTCTCATGTGGAAACTGCAAGATGTGACCTCAGAAAAAAGGCCTTATGCTGTCAGCAGGTACCTTCAGAAGGGGTAGGTTGGGCATGCTGGTTCAGCAGCCAGAGAAGCGTCAAAGGCCACTGGATTAGCTGGGTTAGTGAAGTGCAAGATAGCAGGGGCCTTGAGAGTGCAGAGCAGTGAGAGTGGCTGTGGCTTCTCACTGTGGCTTGATTGATTTAGAGGGTGAGGGTGAAAATTTGGGTGTGTCTTATACACTGAATGTAGCCCCGCCCACGAGGCCAAAAACGCGAGGAACTGAGGCGGCGATAGTCTGTGGCGATGGTCTGTGGCAATCCCTGCAGCCTGGAACAGCCAATTGGGGTATTCCGGGAGGCCAATCCACCCACCAGTCTTGCTGAATCAGGCTGCAATAATGTGCTGAAGCTGACCTGGCTATTCACTATTTGCTGCAAGGACGTGTCAGAGTTTGCAGCAGCAATCCCATCCAGAAAGCACACACAAGTAACTGATTCAGCAGGATTGAATAACTTCTCTTTATATATAATATAACACATGAAGTAAATATACAATACCAAAAGCAGGTTTTCCAATGTGGTAGTAAATGCAAGCAAAACACAAGCAGCGGAGAGGAGTTTCAGTTTGAGTTTCAGAGCAGCATGCGGCTTTAGTACCGAACAGTTGAGCTAAGCCATGCCCAGGCTCCTTGTTGTCTCCTTGCTTACACAGCAAATAGTGTTTCAGTTTCCAAGCAGCCCTCAACTCTCACACATGGACAGGACACTAGCCAGATGAATACCGATGGATGCTGGTAGGCTGAGGCAGATTTTTCCCTCCCTTATTTCCCTCCCCCAAAACTAAGGTACGTTTTATACTCCAGAGCATCTTGTACTCCGAAAAATACAGTATACACTTTGCTTTTAAAATTGGCTTCTTTTTCATTGCAATCTTTTTTTTTTTGTAATCTAGAGGAAGCACTGTTTTCTGTTTCTTTGAATTTAGCCTTAGCCCTTTAACAGCTTTAACAGTTTTGTACTCTTCAAATCAGATAGCATAGATAATGATTTGAGGAATTTATTATTTCAAGTATCTGGATGGTGCCAGTTTGGGGATGACTGTCATGTGCTGCAAAATTTAGAATGGCTTCTAAAGACATATAAAAAGAATATTTTTCCTTGCCGATAAAAGATTTAATGTACATATTCCAGAACAGAAATATAGTCTATTTCAGAGACATGGAATCTTCTTGGGTTGAGGCACACTGGAATTTTGAAAGCATGTGGTGGAAGCATCATGCTTGTTGAGGCTTGCTTGTTAAAACATGGTTAAGGCTGTTCTATTATTGCAACAGTCCACACAATGTCTGTTTACCAGAACATAAAGTATACCCATGTTATACTTTCTATAATTTTAGTGAGATTTATGGAGAAGCAAAAGGCATCATTGTAAATATATACGAGAGAGGTGGTTTTGCAGCATTTCAGCCTCATAGTTACTTAATTTGTATTAAAAACTTAGGAATCATAGTAGGTATTTAAAGGAGTTATCTAAGACATTTTGGCAACTATGAGAACCACATTGCCTACCCCTTGGTCTTCTGAAGTAAACCATTAAAGCATTATTAACATATTAGAGAAAATATACTTATCAAATCAAATAGTTTCCCCCTTTTAAAAATTACTCTTTGCATCTGTTTCAGGGGAATGCTTTGCAGAAAAGATAAGAACAATAACTATTTCCTCATTGTATGTCCACTTCTTTACTCATGGCATGCAGTGTTCCGTAGCATCTGAGATTTGGAGAGAAGCAATAACTTCAGGGACCTTAGATCATTATGGCAACAAGCTACACACCTCCATTTGATGATCCTGGAGAGGTGAGAGAGGGCTTTCTATGCCCCCTGTGTCTGAAGGATCTGCAGTCCTTTCAACAGCTCCAATCTCATTATGAAGAACATTCAAGTGAAGACAGAGATGTTAAAGGACAATTAAAGAGTAAGTGTTCTAGTTCCTATTATGTATTAACGCGTCTTTTTTGCTTACTACATATGAATATTGGCACTTTCTAGAAGTAGGTAAGCCTGTATTAAGATGAATAGAACAGGAGTATGCACCGGGTTTTTGAGGGGATGGAGGGTCCTAAAAAATAACGGGTGCCTTTTTAAGGCACTCATTTCATCCTTAAATGTGCCTAAATCATCCCCTCCATGTAAAAAGCCTATGTGTTAACATAGGTGTTAATAATTTTCTATTTATTAGAAATGCAAATAATGTTACCATCCTTTTTATGGCAATTCTGTTAACACTCATAATTCATGGGGAGGCATATTGATGATGCCCACGCATGACCTTTGAATGAAAGGAGTTTAGATATGTTGAAAGCAGAGTGTTTTCACTTACTCTGTTGTGTTTGAGTAATCCTTGAATTATGACTACAGTTGTGACCATGCCACATCCTGCTGAAGGAGTTCACCTCCGTCCATGCACAGAGGGGAGGTGTTCTGATGGGCTATAGAAACAGATCTCCGGGATCTGGGCCTTCTTTCTCCATCCCACCAAAGGAATTCAGCTCCCCTCACTAGGCAACTCTTTCATTCAGCCCCCAGAGATGATAAGGAGTCCTCTCGGCAGCTGACAGTAGCTTGCAACCTTCCTTGCCTGCTTCCCACTGACTTTCTGGGGAAGCCGGCAGAGAAAATTACTAATGGCAATCACATATCACAGGGTGCTTGGCAATTGGTTGTAAGATTGTGGTCTCGTGCGGGCAGGGTTTTATGATAGTCAGAGGTGCTTTACAGGCAAGTATTTTTTCTAATCACAAAAGTCTTTTTTTTTAAATTGGCAAAATGAAGCCTTTATAAACCTAAAATTAGTGCTTTGGACTAAGGGAACAAAATTTGAACTCTTGGCCACAGACGCCTAAGACAATTTTAATGAAATAGTGGAGCCTTTGAAGAAAAAAATCACTCACAATTAAGCAGAGAAATAATGCAATGCATTAATTAGAATTAGAATTCTTTTTATTGGCCAAGTGTGATTGGACACACAGGGAATTTGTCTTGGTGCAAATGCTCTCAGTAAACATAAAAGAAAAGATACATTCATCAAGAGTCAAGAATCATAAGGTACAACACTTAATAATAGTCATAGGGTACAATAAGCAATCAAATCATACTAGGAAACAGTCAATATAAATCGTAAAGATACAAGCGACAAAGTTACAGTCATACAGTCACAAGTGGGAGTGGATGGGTGATAAGGAGCGATGAGAAGATTAATAGTAATAGTAGTGCAGACAGTGTTGAGGGAATTACTTGTTTAGCAGAGTGATGGTGTTCTGGAAAAAACTGTTCTTATGTTTAGTTGTTCTGGTGTGCAGTGCTCTATAGTGTCGTTTTGAGGGTAGGAGTTAAAACAGTTTATGTCCGGGATGTGAGGGGTCTGTAAATATTTTCACAGTCCTTTTTGACTTGTGCAGTATACAGGTCCTTGATGGAAGGGAGGTTGGTAGTAATTGTCTTTTCTGCAGTCCTAATTATCCCCTTTAAACACCTGAAAGTAGTAAAAATTGACTTGAAACCTTTGGAAGTTTGTTATTTTAGCTGATTGTAAGAGTGAGGGTTACTTAGAAAGCTGTGAGTTATCTGGATGAAGTAATGATTTGTGATTGGATGTGTGTTCTGATATTTCTTAAGTACATGAGGCAATTCCTTTAGTTTAATCAATGAAGGATGTGCATAGGTAAGCTATGTGCCCCTGAGTTACTACCTAAGTAACTTGGACATTCCTGCTGGTCTTCAAGTGACTTGTTGCTTTAATCAGAACAAAAGAGATACTTTGACCAGGATGCCCAAAGAATACAGGAAAAACACTGTATCTAACTATCTGATACCTTGATTTTGGGAAACCAGTACAAATTCATTAATAATTGTTAATATCAGTTTAATGCTGTTTACTACATAACATTTTAGCCACACGACACATAGTTTCACAATGCATACTAATACTTCTAAGTTTATGTGTATTTCTGTCTCTAAGGACCCAGACTAAGTCAAGCTACCTCTAGCTGTAGGTCTTGCTGATTTCCATGGTGATTTTGACGCATTGAGTTTCATTATATTTTCAGACGTTCAGAGTCATTCTTGGGAATACTCTGATGGGATTGAATGTGGCATGTAAACAGCCCTTAGTCATCACACAATTTCAATCACTGGCTACACAGCTTAGTAACAAGAGCTTAAGAATAGTAATATCCATAAAGATAAAAATAATTGTAATATGTTTAAATGCTAATTATTGGCCACCCCCACCCCACCCCTTTTAAATAACTATACACTTACTGGTAGAAACCCATTCATAATAAAATACAAAGAGCTTGTGGTTGTGTTAATTTCCTTCACTTGTTACAAGTTGTTTCCCAGTTCTCTGAAGGCTGTGAAATGCGTCATTGTTTTACCTTTAAAGTGCTCTTGCCTTCTGCTTTGTCCAGTGTTCTTATTGCACAAATTGTTTCCTGAATTAAGTCTATAACCGGTACAAAATATTCCTGTGGGCTGCCAATAATTGGACTGCTTGGCTAATTGATACATTTGTATTCTCAAACGGGTCGGACCAGGTAGATTTCTTTTTTCAGGGTTGTGCTTTATGGGAATTTTTGTAATTCTTTGCATATTCAGAAATTTGTTTTACAAATTTTAGAATAATATATATATATATATATATATATCCCATTACTGTGGGAGAAAAATGCTATGATATCTGCCAATGAAACATCTGCCAGTTTTAAACAAAGATTTAAGCTCTCCATTTTCCATTTCAGCTTGTTCATCTAGAATATGCAGTCCTGGGTTGTTGGGGTTTTTTTGTGTGTGTGTATGAGGGGGGAGAGGTTGTTTTTAAGACATGCTGTTTTGCTCTTAAATTTTCTCATCCAAAGGAAAGGACAAGTTGAATTTAAAAATCATGGCCAGTCCATTCTGAGGAGTTCTGAAAATTACAAATCAAGTGCAAGAGTCCATGCTAATCATGGGCTCACCATACTATCACAGTGGCAACTGTAAGAAAGAAAGTCTTAACTATTACATTTAAATATCTAAACAGAATTTGTGACATCTACCATTTTTTCTTGTTTAGATCTTGTTCAAAAAGCAAAAAAAGCAAAAAATAAACTGTTAAGACGAGATGATGACCGAAATGATGGGGGGTCTCAGGAACGATATGAAGGCTACAGTTATGGTGGAATGGATCCATATATGTGGGAACTCGAAGAATTAGGTAACCAGTCAAAAAAACTTCATTTGAAACAAGGATAGATAGTATCTCTAGATTCTGAACTGTGTAACCTAAAAATAATAAGGCTGTGAAAATTTTAAGTTACAGTTTTAATTTTGTACATTTTTATATTGTGTATAAATCTATATAAATATACTACACTAAGTTGATCTGTGAGAGAGCACCAGTGAATTCTGAGAAGATATGTATCATATTGTGTTATGAAGATAGTTTGAATAGATAATGAATTTGTACAAATGTATGTATTCATTGGATGGTAAATGCAAAATGGGTTCAGCACTAACAGTAATTAACACCAGAAGAAAATTCCATAATAGAAATAGGTCTTCTGAAATACCATTATCTTATAAACAAAAATTGTATTTTGTCAATAAAGACTAAAATACAGGGTGGTTAATACTTAAGAGCATGTTTACATAGCACATTAAACCATGTTGAATATTAGCTGTGCATATCAGATGATATGGCAAATCATATTTAGCTATGGTACATGAGCTACCATTCTTTAATTCTGAATTTTAGACTGAATAGCAAATTTGATAGAAATAAGAACAGGATAAACTTCCCGTTAGTTGAATATTTATGGTTGAATTATTCTCTGAAGTTTCCTAACTGGATATTTTATATTAGGTGCTATAAGGAGTCATCTTTCTGATTTTAAGAAACACAGAGCAGCCAGAATTGATCACTATGTTGTGGAAGTCAATAAATTAATAATCAGGTTAGAAAAGGTAAATAATTTGTAGTTTTATTTTTTTTTTAATTTACTTTTTATTAAACTTTTATTTAAAATATTTTAATAACATATGTAAGTCCTTTTTTCAATCATTACCTACTGTAACATTTCTTGTGATGTTTATTATTATGTTATTTGTTAAAGTATCATTCAATGCATTCCTTGGTAAGGTGCTATTAATTTGCTGGTCTATTACTAAGGTGATATAAAAGAGATACTCATTTGAAGTTTGATTTAAAAAAAAGATATTTGGGAAAAGATGGTTAAAAACAGAATTGCTTGATTTACTTGAAGTAATATGACAAACTATACAGTAAAATGTGTTTGTATATCTAATTCTTGATCATTTTCTTTTGGTCAGCTTACTTCCTTTGATAGAACAATTACAGATTCAGCAAAGATAAGAGGTAATGAGCACAAAAAAGAAACGCCTTTGATAATATCTCAACTAGGATTTCATTAATGATGTCTAACAGGTTATCATGTCTTATTGCAGCAATAGAGAAATCTGTCGTGCCTTGGGTTAATGATCAAGATGTACCATTTTGTCCAGATTGTGGTAACAAATTCAGCATACGGAACAGGCGCCACCACTGCCGCCTCTGTGGGTCTATCATGTGCAAGAAGTGCATGGAACTGGTCAGTCTCCCCTTTGCAAGTGAGTACAGTGGTTAGAGTTAGAAGTGCCTTAATTCCTAATTTTCAGTGTTGATCATATTTTGTTCTAGTATCACTCAAACATTATTATTACTATTATAGTGTGAATTAAGAAAAAAATATTGCTGTGCATTTATGTCTGTCACAAAAATGAGCAATTGTCTTCTGGTCTGATGAGATACTCATTTACAGCAGTAGAGGAATTTTAGAAGGATTGGCAGACATATTTTTAAAGTCTTCTTGTTTTTGTAGCAGCATAGACAACAGCCAAGTGTTGCCCTCAAGTGTGTGCATGTGTACACTGGATTTTTAGAGGGTTTATTATCTTTGGGTGAGGAGAAGGTTGAGAGTCTCCCCCCCCCCAAAAAAAAAGAGCAGTATGCAACTCATAAATTGCATCTTATTCCCCAGAATCTCTCATGATTGTGTCTTTAAATTTTTGTGTTGGGATTTTTTCCATGTTGTCAATAGCTATTCAAAGCTATTTTACCTTTTAAAAACTAATTTCCAAAAGGTATGTAGAAAAAGATGACACCCCCCCCCCAACTCCTTTCTACGGTTTTTAGAAGTCTCATCTAATAACTAAAAAGTTACTTCACCTCAAAATTGAAATATTCCATTACTCCAGTTTGAGTAATGTCAGTTGCCTGTTTAGTAGCTAGATGTCATGTTATGTAAATATTAATATTTACTTTGAATATTCTATTTTGCAGTTGTACAAGCATTTTGATTGATATCTTTGTAGCAGCCAGCTTTTAGAGAACAGTTTTATTGCAGTTCCTGTTTTTACGTGTAAATTGAGATGAGCAGAATTGAGTATTTGAAGCTGCGTTCAAGATAATGTTCTGTCATCCGGACAATTACATTGTGTCAGTTATATTTTGTTCGTCTCTCCTTTCAGGCAAGCTTACTACTGCTAGCAAGGAAGTCTTGGCCTCTCATACTAGCCCCAGCTGCTCGCCCAATAGCATCCAGGGCTCTCGACGAGGTAGCATCAGTAGTATAAGCAGTGTCAGTTCTGTTTTGGATGAAAAAGATGATGATCGAATCCGTTGCTGTAGACACTGTAAAGACACGCTGCTCAAAAGGGAACAACAGATTGATGAAAAAGAATATATACCAGATATTGTGAAACTATATGAGGTAAAATGACTGAGATCAAGGCTTAAATGAGACTTATTGTCAATAGCATATATAATAATTTTTATGGGAGTAAATCTAAGAGATTAGGAACTGTTTATATTAAAAAGAAAACAGTTAGTTTGTTCATTGATGACAAAATTTGGTTTAGCTTTGGTGATTAGAAAATAACAGTTTGGCTAAAATAATCTTGGAAGCTTCCCAATTCATTCTATCAAAATCAGAATCTCACTTTGGAAAATTTGAAGTTACAACAATTTCTATTACTGAAAGTGTGTTGCTTTTAACTATTATAAGAAATCAACAATTTATAGTCTTTTGCATTTGACACAAATGGATGAAATTTGCAGTGACTGTTCCACTTCAGGGGATATTTTTCCCGTCAAATTTCAAACAGATTGGTCCAACTGTTTTCAGGAATTTAGAAGCTTTTCAAAAACAAGTTCCTTGACCAGCTTGGATTTCTTTGAGTGACAATTTATATGAAAAAAAAAAAAACCACAACGTTATAAGCACTGTAGGATAGGTGTAAAACTTTAGTTTGGTTCCTGTGTAACTTATTTAGCAATAAGCATGTTTAGCAAAATGTTACCACTGTTAGCATACTGCATATAGTCCTGGTCATTATACTTCAGAAATCATATTACAGATCTGGGAGTAATGCAGGCATGGCCAGCTGATATTCCATAGGCATTTTTTTTTGTAAACTGGTAAAATATCAGTTGAATACTGTGCATTGCTGACAAAAAAAAAGAACACATTCAGATTGCTTGCAAAACTTGGACCTATACAGATAATACAAGCATACAATAATATGTGAAATGGATTCATTCCTATTCTAATCACCAATCTTTGTAACTGAGGTCCTTAAACTCATATAAAGTAAAGGAAAAATAGGATGCATATAACACATATTTGAATTGTTGTTGTAACTTAATTTTAATATATTGATTTCTTTTATTAAACAAGAAACTCCGATTTTACATGGAAAAAGTTGACCAGAAAGCCCCTGAATACATAAAGATGGCAGAATCATTAAAGTAAGCCTCTTTAGATTTTTAAAATAATTGACTCTTGTATTCTTTAAAAGTTATTAGATGATTGTGTTGTTTAAAAGAAATCAGAGAAGGCAAATATTAATTAGATATTAATAACTAATATCTAATTATTGGGGATATATCTAATTAAATATATTGGAAACTTCAGTTTTGTAAAAGCACAATACATCGAAGTTATTATTTATTGCTTCTTTGGGGACAGCTATCTGTTATGTTTGTATTATTATTAACTGAGATTTAGAACCAATTTTCACACTATATCCAAAAATGTCCTTATGTATATTTTGCATTATTAGCAGTACTGGGTGATATTTACACAATTATATTTTCTGAATTTTATTTAAAAGTTGTATATGGCCACCCTTATGAGCATAGGTTATGGAATTTGAACAAACTTCGTAAATTTGCTGGTGCTTTTAAATGAAGATTTCAATTTGTAAGGTGAATCCGTACATTAAGTAATAGACTTTGAGTTGGAACTTGTTCTTAGATAAGTTTGCTTAGCGTTATTTTTATACATATAAATTCTTTAGCTTTTGAAGTAATAAAGAACTTGAAAACTGAATCATTTGTATCAATTTTTTAGAATTAAATTTTTTAACAGATATTTAAAATAGATACTTGGTTATTCCAAATTCAGTTTTTCAAATCTAACTAGATTGCAGTAGAAAACAAGAGTATAAATTGTTAATGAAGTCTATTTATAAGTGTTCATATGAATATGGTGAGAAATGAAATTTCAAAAGTTTAAAAGGAAAAATACCAAAAACTCCAGGATAAAACCAAAGTCAGAACCACAATGGTCAGCTAGTGTCTGTAGTAAGTGGCAAGTATATATAAATACTTGGCTACCAAGGCTGATTTTTGTATATGTTTGGATTTGTGTCCTTATAAATACATATTTACTCTTTAAAACCATGCTGAGCTTAGTGATATAATTTTGAATCAAACTGCTTCCCACTCTAAAATGGTATTTATCCATGTAGAACTCATTTTAATGAACTAAATAATTTTGAGAGAAATTGATGACAAAAATGCACCAAAATCGATATTTAATATTCAAGTTTTCCCTTTTTTTCATAACACAGTTTAGATGGTTGAATCTATGTGAATAACAATTTGGAGTTATTTAAATGTGCATGTTCTCTTTCAGTGCTGGAGAGACAACATACAATCTTGAACGTGCTAGCAGTCTTAGAATAGAAGTGCAGAGAATGTATGAATTAATAGATGCTTTAAGGTAAGTACTAAATATGAAGATGGAAATTGTTACTGGATTATTTTTTGCTTGGCTTTATATACACTGCTCAAAAAAATAAAGGGAACACAAAAATAAGACATCCTAGATCTGAATGAATGAAATATTCTTATTAAATACTTTGTTCATTACATAGTTGAATGTGCTGACAACAAAATCACACAAAAATTATCAATGGAAATCAAATTTAGCAACCCATGGAGGTCTGGATTTGGAGTTACACTCAAAATTAAAGTGGAAAATACACTACAGGCTGATCCAACTTTGATGTAATGTCCTTAAAACAAGTCAATATGAGGCTCAGTAGTTTGTGTGGCCTCCACGTGCCTGTATTACCTCCCTACAACGCTTGGGGTGCTCCTGATGAGGTGGTGGATGGTCTCCTGAGGCATCTCCTCCCACACCTGGACTAAAGCATCCCCCAACTCCTGGACAGTTTGGTGCAACGTGGCATTGGTGGATGGAGCGAGACATGATGTCCCAGATGTGCTCAACTGGATTCAGGTCTGGGGAACAGGTGGGCCAGTCCATAGCATCAATGCCTTCATCTTGCAGGAACTGCTGACACTCCAGCCACATGAGGTCTAGCATTGTCGTGCATTTGGAGGAGCCCAGGGCCAACCGCACCAGCATATGGTCTCACAAGGGGTTTGAGGATCTCACCTCGGTACCTAATCGCAGTCAGGCTACCTCTGGAGAGCACATGGAGGGCTGTGCGGCCCACTAAAGAAATGCCACCCCACACCATTACTGACCCACTGCCAAACCGGTCATGCTGGAGGATATTGCAGGCAGCAGAACGCTCTCCAGGCATCTCCAGACCGTCACGTCTGTCAATGTGCTTGGTGTGAACCTGCTTTCATCTGTGAAGAGCACAGGGCGCCAGTGGCGAATTTACCAATCTTGGTGTTCTCTGGCAAATGCCAAACGTCCTGCACGGTGTTGGGCTGTAAGCACAACCCCCACCTGTGGACGTCGGGCCCTCATACCACCCTCATGGGGTCTGTTTCTGACCGTTTGAGCAGCCACATGCACATTTGTGGCCTGCTGGAGGTCATTTTTCAGGGCTCTGGCAGTGCTCCTCCTGTTCCTCCTTGCACAAAGGTGGAGGTAGCGGTTCTGATGCTGGGTTGTTGCCCTCCTACGGCCTCCTCATGTCTTCTGATGTACTGGCCTATCTCCTGATAGTGCCTCCATGCTCTGGACACTACGCTGACAGACACATCAAACCTTCTTGCCACAGCTCGCATTGATGTTCCATCCTGGATGAGCTGCACTACCTGAGCCACTTGTGTGGGTTGTAGACTCCGTCTCATGGTACCACTAGAGTGAAAGCACCGCCAGCATTCAAAAGTGACCAAACCATCAGCCAGAAAGCATAGGAACTGAGAAGTGGTCTGTGGTCACCACCTGCAGAACCGCTCCTTTATTGGGGATGTCTTGCTAACCGCCTATGCTTTCCACCTCTTGTCTATTCCATTTGCACAACAGTAGTGTGTTGCTACCTAAGTGGACAGTTTGATTTCACAGAAGTGTGATTGACTTGGAGTTACATTGTGTTGTTTAAGTGTTCCCTTTATTTTTTTGAGCAGTGTATATATTATTTTCAATGAAGATGAACATTTTTTTAAAGAAGGCATAAACTTTGTGAGCTACATTTTACTGCCAAAATAAATCCATGTTGCCAAATAAAATTCTTTTTTGCCTAGTGTTTATTCCTCTTAGCTGATTGTTATGTATTTCCAATTCATTCTTTTCCTTCGTTTGTTTCAGCAAGAAGATTCTGACTTTAGGGCTGAATGAAGATCCACAACCTCATCCCAGAACTTTACAACTTCAGAGGATGATTAGATATTCAGCCACACTTTTTGTTCAGGTAGGGATATGTAGAAAGGGTGAGCTGCTTTTAAATATATTAGTTCTCCCAAGACAATATGAAATTACATACTGACATTTTAAATGGTGTTACAAAACTTGTCATTTTGTTTCAACAATTTGCATAATGAAAATAAATTAGTGCTTCAGTTTTTAAATACTTCCTACCTAATTAGATGTAAGCTATGTCAATAGCTCTGCTGGTTTTTAGAAGGCTAATGAATTTTCTTTTGCACTTTATCATAGTGATGGGAATGGTTTCTCAGCACTGTAATTGGATTCTAATTTAGCAAGCTATTGCATGATATCATGGGACAATTCCTTGCTATTAGTCAAATAACCTAAGCCTAAGAACATAATGTTTGTTTATTCTCAGGTTTTGACTTCCCCCTTTGTTTGAAATTGCATTTTAATCATTCTGAGTTGCTAATTTTTCATAGAATTAGATAATTGTGATGTTAGAAAAGACTACAAGCCCAGCCTTCTGCAGTGTGCAGGAATGCCAGTTAAACTGTTCTCCAAACATATCTATCTGGTCTTAAAAGGATACTCCAGAGATGGAACATCCTATAGCCTCTAGAAGTAATTTCTGGAGGGCATCCCAACTCTTTATTACCATACCGGTAGTTTTTGACTTACAATCACAAATGATCCCAGAATTTCATTTGTTAAGTATAACTTAGTGAGTTGAGACCCATTGTATGACCTTTTTTCAGTTAAGAGAATCATGTAGTTGTTAAGCATATCTGGCTTCCCCCATTGACCTTGCTTATCAGATGTCAGCTGGGAAGGTTCCAAATGGTGATCACATGACCCCTGGGATAAAGCAACTATCATAAATATGATCCAATTACCAAACAGCTGAATTTAGTTCGCATGACTGTGGGGATGCTGTAGTGGTTGTAAGTGTGAAAACTGGTCATATACCACTTTTTTGAGTGCTGTTGAATGATCACTAAACAAAAATGGTTGTAAGTTGAGGACTACCTGTACATCCTTCTGCTGTAGGTCATATTCACCTTGTTATCAGTGATCACACGAAAGTACAGCCATATATCTGCCATCTGGTATTCTATGCCCTTCCCTTCCTCCTTCCCTCCCTCCTAGCATAGTCAAGTCATTCTGGTGTTTTAAAAGTATATTTGTTCATTTTATTTAAGTATGTGTAAACCTGTTCAATTAGTTTATTAACTGTTTGATTTTCTATCTTCCTTGCCCTTTAGTTATGTTTTTTAAAAAAAAGCTTAATTGAAAAAAAAAACCTCTCAGAAGCAGGCAATTGTAAGAATGCTTCCATAATGCTTTCAAGAAAATTAGAGATATATTCCTGAACTAATCAGGAAACAAATTTCATTTGGAAGAGACTTACTTCAATTACTAATCTCTTATTTTAAATACTCTTTTGATATTAGGTATAGTTGATCACAATTTAACTTTATTATTAGACATATAATTTGGATGAATGGACATTTTTTATATTTTAATCACTTAAAGTATAATAGTATGTATGCATGCATGTATAGACACATATTTTGTAGTTTTCAAGATCTAAATCTTAGTATCCTATACCCTTTAAAGTGATATTTTGAAAAAAAAAACTCCTCAGGAAAAATTGCTTGGCCTGATGTCTTTACCAACCAAAGACCAGTATGAAGAACTGAAAGAGAAAAAGAAACAAGAACTAGAGAGAAAACTGCAGATGGAGAGACTGGCAAGTATTTTAATCAGTATATGTTTCTAACAATGAGTTTCTGTTTGTTCACTGTTTCAACTATTTCCTTTCTGAAATGCTTTACTTTTGAATTTGTTTTCTAAAACAATTGCCAAGTAGCGTGATATAAGTCTAGAACCAGCTTAATAAGAACGATTTTTTTCCTATTTCTTGTTTGACTCATTTCTTTCTTGCCTTTTTTGATTTTGGGGTGGGGATGACATCTCTTAGAAATTTACGTAAGTTTTCAAAAATATTTTAGCCAAGAGAAAAGTCTGCTTTGCTCTCAAATTTTTGTTTTGTTTCACTATCTTTATGTTGCTTTAGTTTGTTGTTAGTTTAGACTCATAAATATATTTTATCTTGTTGAAATAATCACATGTGATACATCCAAATGCAGTACATACTAAAAGTGATTGGATAGGTGACTTCTGATCTAGTCTCTCTTTGAGTAAATAGACTGCTGATCATTCTATGGCAGAGCACAGTTCTTTGAGATCTATCAAAGTGGCAGGAAGATAGAAAGAGTTGCAGTCATTACAGGAGAGAATAAAAGAATAAAACTTGCTAGAGCATAGCTCTTTACCACATATGTAGAAGTGTAACCTTTACTTGCTGATTCAGCTTATCTTCCACTCTAAAACATTCGAAACTTATTTAACAGGAAATTATTTGTGTTAAATACGATTTAGATCATTGTGGACATGAACAATTGAGGGACAGATGAACAGTTAAAATTTTTTAAAAATATTATTATTAATACCATAATAATCTTACATAATCCATCAGTTTAAAGATTCTGTTTTTTGAGATGGAGGGGGAAAAAACTCAGAAAAAAAGAAGACCCCTTTCCACCAATACAGTTGCCTTTTTAGGCTCACGTATCATGCTAAAAACTGAGGAAGTTGCTGAAGTGTGGACTGCTCAATAAAATGTGGACTCCTTTTAAAGTTTTCCTTTCTTTTGGGCTAGGTGAAGTACGAATCCCAGAGACGACAAGAAGAGAGACCGTCAGACTACACTTCCAGATCCTTAGCAACATTCAATGGTGAGGTCCATCGAACAAAAAGGGTTGCAATGAAGAAAACTGAAGGATGGCTACCCACTGCTAGCATATCTCGGAACCAGGAACTGGCAGATCCACTTCTTCAACAGATCGACAATATCACCTCATTTATTAAGCAGGCGAAGGAAGCCAATCGTCTGGACGAAGTCCAGATGCTGCAGGAGAACCTGCGACAGCTTCAGGACGAGTACGACCAACAGCAGACAGTCAAAGCCATTGAGCTCTCTAAAAAGCAAGCGGAGATGGAGGAAATGCAGAGAGAACAATTGCAGATCCTTTGTGAAGAAGAGTGGAAAAGGGATCATAAAAAAAAGATGTCTCAACATTCACGGACACGTTCTCTGGATTTCAGAGAAGTGACGCCCGATAAACCTGAGATGGAGAGGGAAAGCATAAACCAAATAGCAGAGGCTTTGGATCTAGATATGCTTCAGGACAAAGATTACACTGGCTCCACGGCTGCTTTCCCCAGTGATGGTGTTGGATTGCTAGGTAGCAAGAATCTGGTTTTGGTTTGCCAACCTGTGAAAGCCTCAGAGCATGAAAAAGCCTCCATAAATCCTTTTGAAGATCCTTCACTAATTAGCCCTCCAAAGAGCAACCCTGATAGTCCTGTTGCTGAAAACACTGCAATAGCTTCTTTGCCTACCAATGCCCTGCAGAGTTATGAAAGAGAGTACAATCCATTTGACGAAGAGGAGGAGCAGGAACAGGAAGATTCTCAGCAGGCAAATGGGGTAGATCTCAGTGCTCCAAACCCATTTGAAGATTCTGTGGGAAATCCATTTTATACCCCTGTGGGTAACCAGGAATCTGGGAATCCATTTGAAGAATCAGTGTCTTCCTCTTTGAATCCTTTTGAAGTTGAAAGTGATAATGAAGTTTCAGGGGAAGATATCATAGAGGAGGAATTGCTTCTCCAACAGATCGATAATATCAAAGCATATATTTTTGATGCCAAACAAAGTGGACGAATGGATGAGATAGAAGTATTGACTGAGAATTTGAAAGAACTTAAGAGCACCCTTGCAAAACAGAAGAAGAAATCGAGCTGCTGAACTATGTCCACATACTTTTGCAGTTCCCAAAGGGAGGGAAGATCGAGGTAAAAGAAGAAATACATCGCAAAAGGCACTTACTTGGGTGCTGAATCAAGCTTAGGTAGGGACTTTGGTATAGGGATTTCCACTTTTTAGATCTGTAAAAGTCAACACTATTTAAAATTTATAATTACCGGAAACTGTTCTTCAAATATTGAAAAGTCTGTATTTGTATCCCAGCCCAAATTTAGGAGCATAATTATATTTCTCAGCACCTGCTTTATCTCTGATGTAAAAAGGGGGAAAACTGACATTTTAAAATGCAGGAAATTATTTGCAGTTCTCAAGACTTTTGAATTTATTTTCTGTCACCAGGTAGGATTGTATGTGCTTCAAAAAAAAATTGCTTGAAACCACATCTTTGCTTCCTAAGACAGAAGCAACTTGTGCAGCAACCTGGAAAAGCTTTTACTGTTTTCAAAGAAACGTGGTGCTCTCATGAGCTCAAAGCATTTCCTCAAAATCGTTCTTGAATCTTGCACAGCCCAGCTAAAAGGAATTAATACTGTCTTGCAAATTCTCAGTTTTCCTACTAACTTTATATTTTGGGGAAGCAGAAGAGAGAAAATAACTTACTGTTCAATAGAATTCATTGGTAAAGCAACATATATATGTCTCAAAACATATGTATATATATGTTTTAGAAAACAAATGCATAAAACCTAACTAGACATCGTGTATTTTTTTCCTTTATCTGTTCTTCAACTGATCAAACTATTCTAATAGTTTTTCCCAGCCAATTCTAGACTAACTTTGTAAGAACGTTGAAATTGTCAGTGTCTCAAAACTACATAATTTTCCAGGCTTGTAGAAATGTCAGAATAGGAAAATTGTTTTCTGCCTCCAAAAATTAGAAAATTTGCAGACAGAACTGTGCTTTGAGAGGAACCATCCTGGGTGTCCACTTGAGAGTATAAATTAAAAACTAGAAGTCCATTTTTCTTTCTAATTTGATTTCTCTCTAGGGCAATGTTGATATACCACCTCCATTTGTTGTGTGGATGATTTGTGCGAAACCTGTTATATTAAATGGAGGCTATCAAATTCTTAGGGTTGAGCTGTTCATTTGTAAATCTTTTTTTCTTTTTAATTGATCTGCCAGCTACGAACAGAAATGTTTAGAAGTGTTAAATAATGTCTGATTTCAGTTGTACGGGATGAATTTTATTTGGTTGCATTTTATTATTTTGGTGTCGTAAACCAATTTTAATTGTTTACACCGGAAGAACTTACTCAGAGAATATTATGTACTTAGGGGAATGGGAAGAAGGCCCAAGCATTAATCCTTAATCTGATTTTGACAATTGTTTCCATGCTGGTAGAGATGATACTGTACACAATGTATGTGGACACTAAATGTTACATTCCTCAAAAGATTAGTGGTTAATAGGGTCAAGAACTAAGGCAGCACTTTATACTTTCGACATTAAGTATTACATGTTATTCATTTGTTAATTCATGGTATTTGTGATTTTATTCCCTTTGTTAGCAAGGAAAAACTACCTAGCTTTGATTTCATGCATCACAATTCAGCGACAGCCTGTTTTAATGAATCCTATAGAAACTGAGCTGAAAACTGCCCGTCCAATTATATAACAGTCTAAGGATACTTGTTTTGATTTTTTTTTAATGGGAGCATTCTGGAAATGAACTTACAATGCACTAAACAGGACAAGAGTTGGAACATAAAAATAGGTGATAAAATATTTTTAAAAAGGGAAACCTACAAACTAAGCAAGGAGCAAAGGCACAATAATTGTTTAAGGTAAAGCTATATTTATTAAAGACAAGGCCGCAAACTTGATCTGTCACTCTTTATGTAGTCCAACCAATATGAATGTTTCAGTGGCTTTTTTAAAAAAAAAAACTCATTTCCTTATTAGATGCATTATGCCTTTTGTCTATGTATGCCATAGTCTAATACTTTATAAGACACAATATTGATGTATTTTATTAAAAATATGTTGGTTGTAGCTCTATAACTGCAAGTCAATGTGAAATTACCCTTGATAACCCAAATGGTTGTTCCACATTTTGTCAGCATTCCGTTTGTACTACTGAATTGACACAATGAAAATGAACAAGACCATGCCATTATGAGATTTAACACTAATACCATTTGTTTGTACATTTGCATGCACTAGTTTGTAAAGTTTCTCATGAAATAAAACACCATTTTTGTTTCTGTGAGTGTGGAAAAACTGATTACATCAATAGCAGCAGCAATCTAGTCTTTCGTGTGAACTGCAAATTCCTTGGTATCTTAATGAACAGAATGTAGGAAGCACTTTTACACCGAGCTAGGCAATTTGTGCAAGAAAACATTGTTTAGACGGGAGTCTTTTCCAGGCTGATCTATTGAAAAGATTCTAAGGATTTCTGCCATTTGTCAGAAATGGTGTAGGGTCTCCCGCTTGGGTGGGGGGGTTGGACTAGATGACCTGTAACGTCCCTTCCAACTCTGATTATCTGTTATGATCTGTTATGATCTACTAGATAATAGGATCCTATTGGAATATGGAATTTAATCTTCTCTGTGTTTTGCACCAAAATACTTTCTTTAGTTCAAATAAAATGAGAAATGGCAGATAGGAAGAAAAACTACTACTCTGGAACAAGATATTTAAAATAAGGTGAATAATCTTTCAATCCAAGTCTTGTGTAGGAAAAAGTATGCACCATGGTGAAATGTAGAGAACTACATAGTGTAGAGACAGATATATGGTCTTTGTTTTTTTAAAAAAAATCTCTTGAAATGTACCATTTGAACCAAAAAAGCAAGAAACAATCTGCACTGCAAGACTCATCTTTTTCCTTGCTTTAAAATTTTTGAGGCTTCTTAAAAGTCAAAATTTTACTTTATTCTCAACTCTTGGCTTCAATGCAAGTAAAATCCTGGGTTGTTTAGGGCATTAGATACAATTTCCTTTTATGCAGTTGGTACAGTTTTGATTTCCATGAAAGCCTCAGTATACACACACATGGTAAGTAATAAATAGCTTTTCCTATCTAAATAGCTGATGCTTGCTAATAAAAGTGTTTTCAAATACCTAATTTAATCACTTGAGCAACAGTTATACTTTTAAAATGTAAAATAAGACAATTCAGAAGGTAATTAAAAATAGATATGGCGATAGGGCAAACAGTAAATTGTGTTTCTTTTCTCAACCAAAGGGGGGGGGGAAATGATCAGAAATAAATTTCACCATAGCCATATTCCCACATGTTTTCCTGTGGGGGAAAAGGTGGCACTTAATTCCTAGATTACAAGTCATGTGAAAAAGTATGTAGAGTTCTATGTATCTCAGTCAGAGATATCACGACATAGTAAAAATCATCTGGCCCTTAGCAGTTCTTAAAAGTTGACCCTGACCAAGCTGGTTGTGGAACAGGCCAATGACTTCTCCCAAGGCTCTGTCACCACTCTCTCACTTCAGTACCTTTCAGCCAACTACTTCTATATCATATTAAATAATTTTAAATCAAGTTGATAGCTTGAACTTGCATCATTACAGAAAGACAAAACAGATTGAAATGCTATTTGTAACCACTGAAGCAAAAAATGCCACAAATCACAGACGTAGAATTACAACTATTTCAGCCCTTAATTCATGATCAATATTTGTAGGCTTATAAAATGGATAGCCTATAAAGCAACTTTTGGAAAAGGAACCAGCGCTGCATATTACAACTGTTTTCTCTGTTCCCATAGAACTGCATTTATATAAGGATCCAAGCTGTTCTCCCAAGACAATTGCCCTTCAAATAATAGAAAATTAAAATTGACATTATGATCAATATGACCCAACGCTTGCTCTTTAATTTTTTTTAAAAAAAGCATTTACAAAACATTTACTATTTAGTGTACAGCAGTGACAGAATTAAGACCATCTATTTTCCTGGCGTAAGTCTCATACAACAATATATTTTCATCATGCCACTAATCAGTTTCTTATTTCTCTGCAATCTTTACTTCCTTGTGGAGAAGCTTGGTGCAAAAGTGGCTTAGGAACTGTCTTTCATGGCGTTTTTATATTTGCCGGTCATCTCTTTCGGTAGTGGCACTTTACCAGGACAGGAAATCTGGCCGTCAATTTCACACATACATTCCCGTAAGTGGTATTTTTTGTTACCAAATGTTGCAGGATGCCATTTCCTCTTTTTCTCTTCTTCTATCTGGATTGTTTCCCTATTAAAAAGATGATTTTATGGTAAGGAAGACAGCAAGTGAAATTCAGTGTGCAGCATATCACATTTGTGAATATTTTTAACAAGTTGAATTCTAATGAAAGATGAAGTGTATTCTATTAGAATGCTGATTGCAATTTGGAAGTTCAAATCTCACCAGGCTCAAGGTTGACTCAGCCTTCCATCCTTCTGAGGTCAGTAAAATTAGAACCCAAATTGTTGGGGGCAACATGCTGACTCCGTAGAGAACTGTGAGGGCTGTAAAGCACTGTGAAGCGACATATCAGTCTAAGTACACTTGCTATACCTAGTTCAGGGGTGTGAAATTCGCAGTCCGGATGCATCACGCACTGGCCACGCCCACTCCGGTTTAGTGAAGGGGAGAAAAGTTGCAATATGTCATGTGATGTGACGATGTGAGTTTGACACCGTGACCTAGTGCTTTCCCATACAGTCAGAATTGAAGCCTAATCCCTGATAACCTTAGTTATTTTGACTTACTCGCTTTTACCAAGAATTTTCTTAATATGGTCTGCTATCTCTCTATTGGTCTTCTCTTCTATATCAACCAGGACTTGCTCTCCATTATCTGTAAGAGAAATAGGGTTACATACAGAATATTTATTGGGTTTTTCCAAAATTGCTTCCATGATATGGCATATCTCTCATACAAAAATACACACATGATCATTTGGACACGAGGTCACTTGGCAAACCCGAGGTGGTATTCAGCAAGTTCTGACCAGTTCTGCAGAACTGGTAGCAGAAATTTTGAATAGTTCGGAGAACCGGCAGATACCACCTCGGACTGGAGATTTTACAGTATTCTTCCCCTGCCATGCCCACCAAGCCACGCCCACAGATCTGGTAGTGAAAAAAAATGAATTCCACCAAAAAATGAATTCCAAATCATTCATACTTGAAACTATCCAGCCTTGGTGACTTTATTTATTAAATGTACGTGCCATCCATCTCGCTACCTTAAGTGTCTTGTATGTTTTGCAAATAAATACCATAAAATCTATACAGAAATAGACAAAGTTGAAAAATAAAGTTAAGAATTTAAGGGAGCATCCTTAAGCCACCAACCATCCCAGGGGTTGCATGCCACTCTTGGGATCCCCACACTGGTTGACTGTAACACATTATAACTGGTCACTGGTTCTTGAAAAATTCAATTATTTTTAAGCAGGATGGTTAGGTTAAGATTCTGTAAGTTTTGAAATATGAGAGGAATAGCTAATGATATTTTTATCAGTCCATAATCCTTACAAATGGGTTTTATGCTTATAACTACATGAACTTGTGCTCTTCCATATCTATTCAAAATCTGCAAGAATAACTTCCATCTGGAACTGTCAGAATAGCTAAATGCTCATAGGTTCTCCATGCCTGTGCTAGTTCAGGTCCACATCATCTTGATATCAATGAAAGGCCTTAAAAATATGACAGTGAGAACAAAAAGTTAGTGTACTGCCAGACTATCTACTTTCCATGCCCAGTCCTTAAAGACTACAAGGTAGAAAGATTAAAGAGATTATTCCGTCTACTACATATTTTCTCTTCAGGTTTCCAGTGCAGTTCTTTACGACTCCTTTCCTCAAACCCCTACATAAGACAAACTAGGGTTATTTAAACAAAAATTTGGAAAAATATCAAAGATAAACTATTGACTGCAGTTCTTTCTAAGGGAAACAAAACTCCCTAAAATTAGAATATGAACTTGGTTTACCAGCACTGAACACAAACTGTTATAATTCAGAGTGGCAATTTTACATAGTTCTATTAGCAGTTACCAGTACATCAACCAGAAAGTGTTGAAGATATGAGCCATTTCCCTCTTTTAGCAGACATATTATCTCCCATGTGGTAGCTACAATTAGGAGCATAAGCAAACACTATTCTAGTCCACCTCATCAGGAGCTGCAGGAAAATCAGACAAATACTCTACTTACCCAAGTAGAATCTTAAGAATGGCGAAGGAGTCATGTCTTTAAACATCACAATCTGCAGCCAAGGATTTTTGTACTGAATCTGAGGTATGTTGAAAAACACAAATTTTCTATGGTAAAAAACAAAAGCAACTTATTCAGTTTTTTAAACCTCTTTGAAGGTCAAGCAGTTGAATAGGTGTGACTGTCCAGCTTTTGAGTGATTCCATCCACCTGGACCGTGACCAATATTGCCCAGGAATATATCTCATTTTCAGAAAGCTGGCCATGCTATCTGTTGTAGCAAAACTACACACACACTTTTTCGGAACACCTTAGTTTGGGCAGAATTAAAAGTCAGAGAGCCAGTATGGTGTCACCTCTCTTCCCCACACCAGCTCATGATTACTTGATCAGTTGTAAACTTATAGCTATGCAGCCTCTATGGCCCGAGTGGGCAAGTACGGTCCGTTACGATCTGTGAACTTCAACTCCCAGAATTCCCATGCTGGCTGGGGAATTCTGGGAATTGAAGTCCACAAGTCTTAAAAGT